TTCCTATCACAAAGTCATTCGGTAATTTTTTCTTCTATTTTATTTATTTATTTATTTATTTATTTATTTATTTATTTATAAAAATTTTTATTTATTTATGATAGTCACACACAGAGAGAGAGAGAGGGGCGGAGACACAGGCTGAGGGAGAAGCAGGCTCCATGCACCGGGAGCCCGATGTGGGATTCGATCCCAGGTCTCCAGGATCGCGCCCTGGGCCAAAGGCAGGCGCTAAACCGCTGCGCCACCCAGGGATCCCTATATTATTTATTTTTTTATATTTTTTTATTTATTCATGAGAGACACAGAGACATAGGCAGAGACAGAAGCAAGCTCCCTGTGGGGAGCCTGTTGTGGGATTCAATCTTGTGACCCCAGGATCACCACCTGATCAACCACAGCGCCACCTAGGCCTTCCCTCTTCTGCATTGTTTAATATCTGCTAATCCTGTCCAGTGTATTTTTCGTTTCAGATGCTCTAGTTTTCATCTCTAGGAGTTTGATTTGAGTCTTTGGCTCCTATCACCCATGTCTCTACTTAACTTTTGGAATGTATGAGAGTCACTTACAATGAACTCTTTTAATGGTCTTGTTTGCGGATTCAAACACCTGGGTCATTTCTGGGTCAGTTTCAACTGATTGATTATTCTCATTGTGGATCATGTTTTTCTGCTTCTTTTCCTACCTTGTAATCTTTGAATAGATGCCAAACATTGTGAACTTTACCTTGTTAGTCTGGCCAGTTGTGTATCTATCTTTCTTTCTTTCTTTCTTTCTTTCTTTCTTTCTTTCTTTCTTTCTTTCTTTCTTTCTTTCAGATTTTATTTATTCATGAGAGACACAGAGAGAGGCAGAGACATAGGCAGAGGGAGAAGCAGGCTCCCTGCGGGGACTGTGATGCGGGACTCGATCCCAGGACCTGGGATCACAACCTGAGTCGAAGGCAGATGCTGAATCACTGAGCCACCCAGGTGCCCCTATGTTCCTATAAATATTCTTGAATGTTGCTTTGGGATGCAGTTAAACTACTTTTAAGTAGTTTGATCCTTCTGGGTTTTGCTCTTGTGATTTGTTAGGTGGGTCTGAGCAGTGCTCTATCTAGGGTTTATTACTACCCACTACTGAGGTAAGACCTTCTAGAGCCTTCTACCCAATGTCCTGTATTTTAGGGGTTTTTCCTAGTCTCACTGGTGGCAACAGGCACTATTCCTGAACCCCTGTGAGCAATGGGCACATTTCCCTAATTTGTTTATATGGTTTCTTCCCCAGACAGGGGTAGTTTCTCCATATCGGTGCACTGATCAGTCTTCTCCTAAATCCTCTAGAGGTCCCTCTGCAAATCTCCAGCGTCTTTCCCTGTTCAGGTCTCTCCTCTTAGGTTCTCTGTCGTTTGACTCCCCCTGCCTTGCTGTCCCCAGACCCAGCTCCATCTCATTCATATGCAGATGGCCAGAACCCTGCCTGGGTTTGCCCTCTCTATGCCATGTCTTCTCTCAAGATAAGAAATGTGGCAATCTGTCACAGGTCTCACCTCACTTTGTGTCCTGTGTCTTAAGGATCACTGTCATTCATTGCATGAGGACCAGTGTCTGGAAAACTGTTGCTTCCTACACAGCAGTTTGTCTGTTTTTTTGTTGTTGTTGTTATTGATTCAGAGGGGAGGGAAATCTGGTCCCTGCTATTTCATCTTGGGAGGAAGTAGAAGTCCCACTTAATAAACACCAATTAATCAAATGTGCTGAATTAATTCCGACCTGACCCTCCTAGATTCTTGACAGTTGGTTGCAGGATTGTGGTCATAGGGCTTAGCACACAGGAGGTGCTCCAAGTTTGTTGAATGAAGGAATATAGGAGTACTTGATGACTACTTTTTTTTTCTTTTTAAAAGATTTATTGATTTATTTTATGGAGAGGGAGCGCGCCATGAGTGGGAGGGGCAGAGGAAGAGTGAGAGAGAATCTCAAGCAGACACTGTGTTGAGCACAGAGCTTGACGTGGGGCTTGATCGCAATGACCCTGAGATCATGACCTGAGCCGAAACTAAGAGTCAGATGCTTAACCCACTGAACCACCTAGGCATTCCAGGAGTACTTGACCTCTGACCTCTGCTCCTGTCTTTGTCTTCAGGGCACTGCACTTAGCAGTGATTCATCAGCATGAGCCCTTCCTGGATTTCCTCCTAGGCTTCGCGGCTGGCACTGAGTACCTGGACCTGCAGAATGACCTGGGCCAGGTGAGCCACCTGGGGACAGTACAGGGCTTGGGACTAGGTTCTCAGTGCAACCCCTAATCCCTGCCCTCTGCTCCTGCAGACAGCCCTTCACCTGGCAGCCATCCTGGGGGAGGCCTCCGCAGTGGAAAAGTTGTATGCGGCGGGTGCCGGGTTGCACATAGCGGAGCGTGGGGGCCACACAGCGCTGCACCTGGCCTGCCGCATGAGGGCACATGCCTGTGCTCGTGTGCTACTCCAGCCCCGTCCCCGGTGCTCCAGGGGAACCCCCAACACCTACCTCGCTCAGGGCCCTGACCGTACCTCTGACACCGACCACCCGCCTGTTGCCTCGTACCCTGAACCTGACTCGGAGAAGGAAGATGAAGAGAGTGAGGAGGATTGGAAGCTACAGTTAGAGGCTGAAAACTACGAGGGTGAGGGCTTCTGGTCACTGGGCAGGGCTTGGATGCCCGGGCAGAGAGAGAGCACTGGGCTCTAGGCTCAATTCTCCTGAGTCAAGACCCAGGCCCTTGGGAAATAATACTGAGGCTCCAGGGACCCAGGCACTGGAGAACACGTCCCCTCTGAGGCCCCAGATTACTGAGAATCAGTCACATGGGACTCAGGCCCCAGATCACTTGGGACCCAGTCCTGTCACCTGCAGGCCTAGAACTACTAAGATCTAGTTGTTGGGTTCAGGTTCCCCAGCTGGAAGGCACAGCTCACTCTGGATCTCGCCCCCTCCCACCAACCACAGGTCCTAGCCTACCCAGGATGAGGGATCTTAAGGCTCAGATTCCCAGAGATTGACACTAGGTTCAGGGACAGCCCTCGGCCCATCTACCTGGGGCCTTGGCATCTGAATCTTAGCTCCCCCACCTCTAGGCCCAACTACCTGCACCAGGTCCCTTCCTGAGATCACCCAGGACCCAGTGTTCAAGGCCTACTCCTTCCTCTAAAGTCACACACAGGCCCTTGAACTACTCAGGACCCAGGAATTTGGGGTCTAGATCTTTTGTGAGATAAAGATCAGAGACTCAGTCTCCTGGTCCCAAGATCCAGGCTTCCTGTCCAAAGCCCCTAGGTTCTTCACCCATAAGCCCCAGACTTTCCACAAGCCAGGCTTTACACTGCCAGCAGGTTCCAGAACACCAAGACTTAGGCATTGGGGTGCATTTGCCTCTTTGACATACCCAGGAATTCAGGGGCTGGACCCCAGACTCAGTCCCCTCAGGCCATGGTGTTCTCCTCTGGGAGCTTGGCATTTGGGGCCCAGGCCCCTGACCCACATCACGTGATACCACTCCGTCCACAGGCCATACCCCACTTCACGTGGCCGTCATCCACAAAGATGCAGAGATGGTGCGGCTGCTCCGGGAGGCTGGAGCGGACCTCAATAAACCGGTGAGCAGCCCTAGGGAGAGGGTGTGGCTGGGAGGGTTGTGCTCCGGAGTGGGGCAGGGCCCCCTTGACCTCTCCGCTGCCCCTTGCAGGAGCCCACGTGTGGCCGGAGCCCCCTGCACTTGGCAGTGGAGGCCCAAGCAGCCGATGTGCTGGAGCTTCTCCTGAGGGCCGGTGCCGACCCTGCTGCCCGCATGTACGGTGGCCGCACCCCACTGGGCAGTGCCACGCTCCGGCCCAACCCCATCCTCGCCCGTCTTCTCCGTGCACATGGAGCCCCTGAGCCTGAGGACGAGGACGACAGGCCTGGCCCCTGCAGCAGCAGCAGCAGCAGCAGTAGCGACAGTGACAGCGGGGACGAGGGCGTGAGTCAGGAGGAAAGACCGGGTGGCTCAGCAGGGGGGTCAGGGTAAACAAGTGGGTGGGCAGGGGTGAAAAGAGAAGTTAGGCAGTGTACTGAGACCGACCTTGGGCCGCTGTGATCAGAGAATGCAGGCAGAAGTCCGGGGTGACCTGGACGGGGTGGTGGGGAGAATGTGGGGAGCCATGGCTTGAGCAACGGCGGAGGGAGAACTCAGGCAGGCAGAGTTAGAGAATGAGACCACGGTCCGAGGGACCCGTGATGGCAGTGAGCAGCAGCGGTGGCTGAGAGTGTTGGGAGTGACTTCCCGGAGCAAGAGATGGAGGACTGAGGCTGTGGGAAGGTGACCTCGGGCAGCAGTGGTTCCGACGCTGGCAGCAGTGGGGAAGGACCTTCGCCAGCAGGGAGGAGGCTGTGTGGGGGAAGCCAGGCGGCAGAGATGCTGTGTTGGGCAGGGGATGAGGCTGGGTAGTGGGGGGGGGGTGAGGAGGGTGAGGAATCTGGGTAGAAGCAGATGGAGGGGGCAGAGGAAGGAGACCCCAGTGGCTGTGGCTGCCGAAGACGCCACGAAGCAGCAGGGCCGGAGCCCAAGCAGGAGCCCAAGCAGTGGCAGGTGGTGGGAGAAAGCAGATGACCTTGAATGTGGCGGTTGGAAAACCAGGAGTGGGGAATTTGCGTGGGGGAACTTGGGTGTCACCAGAAGACCCAGTTGTCGGGGCGGGTGGAAGAAGCTGGACAGCCGGTGTGGTGACAGCCGCCTGAGCCCCTGTGCCTGCCCCCTCTGCCCCCAGGATGAATACGACGACATCGTGGTTCACAGTGGCCGGAGCCAAAGCCGGCTCCCTCCCACCCCAGCCTCAAAACCTCTCCCCGATGACCCCGTCTGACCTAATTGTTAATAGAATCTCCAGTTTAATAAAATCCCAGTTCTGACAACCCGAGACTAGACTGACTGTCGCCGTCGCGGTCCTCCGGTTTATTCCCGGGTCCCCGTCCCTCCAAAATCAAGTGCCACACAAGCCTCAGTGGTTTTCTTTGTGCTTTATCCACACAGAAGGGTTGGAGTGGGTTACATGGGTGGCCGGGTATGTCCTGAGTCAGCATGAGGCCAGCCGCTCTCCCCAGCTTAGACTCGGCCCCTTGAGCCCACTTGCATGGCACACCCTTCTCCCCATGGGCATGGAGTGGGCTGGTAGGTGAACTTTGGGGGTCCATAGTCCTAGGCCATAGGGTGGGCCAGGAAGGAGGCCATGAAGTCGGGGGTCATCCCTCCCTCCTGATCTCCTCCCCCAGAATCTCAGTTGCCTTCTTGAGCTCGTCTCTCACATGCTCCAGCCGCTCCATGTCATGCTCCTGGTGGGATCAGAAATGGATTGATCAGCACCCACCTCCAAGGGCGGGCCACCTCAGTAGTCACCCCTGAATGTGAGCCATGTCAGTTTGCACAACAGTGATCATCCTGGTCACTGTGGACCACGATGGGGACCTTGGCGGAAGAGTTACGTTGGCCAACGTGCCCAGCAGCGCGGTTCGTGTGCGTGTGGACTGTCTAGCCAACGGCAACGGATAGGACAAGTAAACTTGGATGCCGTGACCCTTCTGTGAGGTGCTGGCCATTTGGGCTACTGCCACCAATCATGGGGACATCCTATTTTCCGTGACCCAGCAATGGTGGCCATCTGGGAAGTGATGTCAGCATGGAAGCCATCTCGGTCAAGCAGAGGCCTCGCTCGGCTCTTGCTGCCTAGTCCTGGTGTCAGTCCTGGTCACTACAATCCATTTGTGGTGGGTAGTGGTCATGGCCCAACACTGGTACGGGGTTGGTAGCAATCCACTGGCTGTTGGGTCCACCCCACTTGCCCATCGCCGCCTCCACTCACCTCCTTTTCCGAAGCCTCTTCCTTCTCCTGCTTGGGCTCAGCTTCCGGCTGGTGGAGGTGGTGGTGGTGCGGCGAGTCCTCGTGCATCTCTCCACCCGCCTCAGCCCCCTGCCACAGACTGCGGCCCCCGCCTAGCACCTGCAGGCCCTTCTCTTCTGCCTCAAACTGGGCTGTCTCCTCGTCACTGGCCTGCTCTGCCACTCGCTTTTGGGGGCCCCCTCTGCCCTCTAGGCGCTGCTTCCACAGGCCTTCAAAGGATTCCGTGTGCCCCCTCTTCTTCCTTTTCTCCTCCTCCTCCTCCTCTTCCTCTTCCTCGTTGTCCTCTTCCTGGCGGAGCCGGCTCTGAAGCTGCTCATGGATGGTCTGTTCCCGCACCTCGGACTTGTGGGCCCTTTCTGCGGCCTCCTCTTCCTCATCCCTCATCTCCTGGCTGGACCTCGTCTTCCCAGCCTCTTGCTTCTTGAAATCCTCAACCAGTAGTGCTTTCTCTTTGCTGGACACACAGCCATAGGGCTCTGTCTCACACATCTCTGGTGGAAGAGAGGGTGCTCTCTGTGCAGCAAATTGGGGGAACTGAGACCTGGAGGGGTTCTGGGGTCTGCCCAAAGTCCCACAGTGGGGCTGCCCAAAACTGGGAGAGGAGGGTCAGGTCTGGGCCACACTCTCTGCCCCCATCCTGCACCACTGCAGGGATCCCCGAGGGTGGGTCTGGAGGCCAGGCTGGACACTGCGCAGTGCTATGCCAGTCCAGGCAAGCGGACTCTGGGATGAGACACCCCTTCCTCCAGGAAGCTCTGGCCCAAACCCTGGGTGGGGTGGGGACTTCCCAAGAGGAACTGGGGCCTGGGCCCCCCTTACCTTTGTGGAGGAGAGCTGTGCAGGGGCTTCTCTGGGCCTGGCCCAGTGTCAGCACTTCTGTGACCACCTCTGCCAGACAGCGGGTCAGCTGGGGGTGAAGGGTCAAAGGGGAGGTTGAGGGCAGGGCAGATGGGGGTAATGAGAGCAGCAGGAGGTTTGGAGGGGAGATGATCATGGAAGTTGGTCAGGGTGGGCCAGGGTGTGGGGGAGATGAGGCAGGGCAAGGGGTCTGCACTCACCTCTTCCTTGGAGGGTCTTGGCGCCAATGGAGCAGCGGTGGCTGTGGAGGAAGGAGATGGGTGCTGGGCTGGGACCCCCGGGCGCTGTCCTCGGTGCTGATCTCAGCTCCAAGATGCATCCTATTACTCCCCTGTAGCCTACCTGCCAGGTGTTCCCTCCCCACCTGGAAGCTCAGCCCATGAAGTCTCTGGTCCGACCCCAATGGGTGCCCCGTCCCCCCCCCCACCGGTTCCCTGAGTCCCTCGTCCTTGACAGGTCTCAGAAGTGCCCTCTCCAGTTTCTGGCACTTACCTGCCCCCAGCAGCAGCGCCAGCAGCAGGGGCAGTGGCAGCGGGAGCAGCACGGAGGTGGGCCCGCGGCGTTGCATGGTGGGGCGTCCGGACCTCGGTGCTCGGTGCTGTGCTGGACGGTAGGGCAGCTGCTTATAACCCAGGCCTGTGGCCCCGCAGGGGAGGAAGTGACGTCACCACTGCCCCTTCCCTGCCTGTGGCAGGGTGACAGCTGCAGGGCGGCCACCTGCACAAGACCCTCAATTATTCATGGGGACCCACGTCCTGCACCCGCTCCGCTCCAGATAATGGCCCCTTAGTGCCAGCAGGGAGGGAGGGTGTGTCCACCAGGCAGACACGGTCTGATGGGCTTAAGGCTGCACTGGGAGGCTGACTTGGGTTCGAATCCAGCGGCGCCGCTTAACAGGTAGACTCAGGCAATTCCTCTTCTTTGGCCGCTTCCTCATCTGCAAACCTGGGCCTTGTAAACCTACTTCCTCTGAGGTGGTGGCTGGACTCTGCCTGAATCCCTGCTCCACGACTACCAGCTGCGTGGCCCTGGGAGAACCGCCCAACCTCTCTAGGATTGGTTGCATCCTTTGTGAAATTGGCCTGGTGACCCCCCTCCTCCAGGTGAGGCTTGGCAGGAGGTGAGGAGTGCGTAAGGTAATTTAGACAGCGCCCAGCACCTTCAGGTCAGTGCTTTTTATTGAGCACCTACTATATGCCCAGCCCTCTTCCAAAGCTGGGGGCTCCAGCAGTGAACAAACTGGCCAAGCTCCCTGTGCTTGTGGAGCAGACACAACACTCAAACAGCCTAAGGAAGGAGGAAATGGCCGCAGACTCCTGCATCACGAGTGCTAGGGGATTTACTTTGGCTGGTCAGGGAAGTCCTCTTTGAGGAGGATATTTGGGCCAAGGCCTGAGTGATCAAATGGAGGCATTCGCACAAGATTGAGGGAAAGAGTAGCCAGCGGAGGCACTGCCAAGTGCACGGGTCTGAGTCAGGAACAATTCTGCAGAGTTAGAAAGGCCAGACCAGAGCACAACAAGAAGTGGGCTGAAGTGGAAGGCAGGGGGCAGATCAGGTGGGGCTTTGTGGATCACGGGGACAAGTGTCCTTTCCCCTGAGTGAGATGGAGCAACATGAGGGCTCTGGGCAGGGGAGGGGCGTGACCCAACACAGGGGTCCCACAGGGTCTGCTCTGGCTTTGTGTGGGGCCCAGGGAGCAGGGCAGTGAAGTGGCTGCTGTGCCTCTGAGTCACAGCGGACGGGCCCAGGGAGGGACCAGGAAGGAGAGAGGAAGGGTGGTTTCTGGAAATATTGTGAAGAAGGAGCTGCCAGGGTCTGCTGAAGGAAGGACTGACATCGGCGTGAGGGGAGCTGGTCCCGGGCCAGGGCGAGTTCCAGCTTCACTGAGTCTGTGTTGCCTACTGGACCCTTCCCTGCCACTGGGAATGGAGGGGTGAGGCTGAAACTGGGGTCAGTGCAAGGTGCCTCCTGTCCTAGAGTCAGGGGAGAGGACTTGGCCTCTCAGTTCTGGCGGTGGCCTCTAAGTTGCCCTCCCTGTGCTCTGGGGGTTGCTGGGGGTTCCTGGCCACGGTCCCCGCAGCCACAGACCCTGGGGCGGTCTGGCACCTCTGCCCAGCTGCCCAGCATCCCCAGCTAGTCGGCCAGGGTCCTTTGCCCACAGATCCACAAAGGCCTTGGTTCTGACCATTTATTGGGGACTTTCTGCTACATCCTGAGGGAGGGAAGGAAGGAGGGCTGGGGACTCTTCCTCTCCTTCCCTGTCCTTACAACCGTCAAGTCCCCAGATGTCCTGCTTTCTGGTGCAGGGTTGGGCTGACCTGATGACAGGGTCACTGGCTGGTTCTGAGGAAATCAGGGAAGAAGGGAAGGGGCCCAGGCACGGAGCTGACACGAGGAATGCAGATGTCAGGACAGGCTCAGGAAAATAGGTCCTGGGTTTCCAGAGTCCCCTGGGCTCCAGGAAGCAGCGACAGCCCTGCTGACTGATGAGAGTGAGCTCTCAGCTCGGAACAGGCTGGCCAGGGAGCCTGGACTTCTGGGGCTGGTTGGGGCCGATGTACTGGAGAGGCACGTGAGTGGGGACGGTGATCCGATCGGTGCCAAGGTAGGGCTGGAGGGCAGGGGGCACGAGGACGGAGCCATCCTGGGGACAGAGCAGGCCTCAGGACGCTGCCAGTGCCCCAGGCCTCCCCCCCTCTGCCTCCCTGAGGGCGATCCTTCCACCCCTCACCTCTTGCTGGTTGCTCTCCAGGAGGGCGATGAGGAGGCGAGGGACAGCACAGGCCGTGGCGTTCACCTGGGAGAGAGTTATGCTCACGTCCATGTGATGACCTCTACCAGCCCGGGAGAGGCTGAGGCCTAAGAAGGGAGGCTGTGGGGACGGTGGGCAGGGGGGTGCGGGTGCTCACCGTGTGGGCGAACTGCAGTTCCCCGGCCTCCTTCTGGAACATGATGTGCAGCCGGCGGCTCTGGAAGTCCGTGCAGTTGGAGGCGCTGGTGACCTGGGTAAGGGGGTGGGCCAAGAGGGTCAGCTGTGGGGGATCCCGTTCCCTGTCCCCACTGCGTGTCCCCACCATAGTGGGGGCTCACCTCGCCAAAGCGGCCGCGGCCTGGCATCCAGGCCTCGATATCAAACTTGCGGTAGGCGGGAAGGCCCAGTTCCTGGGTGGGCATGTCCAGGACGCTGCAGCCCAAGAGACAGTTGTGGTGAAGGTCAGAGGATAAGGAGGGGAGGCACGGGTGGTGGAGGAGGTGGTAGGAGGCGGCACGGTGTCAGGGGGCAGGAGTGGAGCAGATGGAGCGAAAGGTGCCACTCTTAGCACCCTGGGTTTGTAACAGGTAACCAAGGAGAAAGCCCACATCCCCCAGCCTCTCTGGAAGCCTGACAGATGAGGCAGGAGGGCGCGGGGCTGCCTGCCAGGTCCTGCCCAAAAGGGAAGGGGCAGTGAGGAGCCCCTGGGGTGCAGCGCAGATGGGGCAGCACCTAGGGATGGGAGCCATGAGATGGAAGGGGCCCGGGTCTCCACCCCGGAGCGCCCCGCGCTGCCTTGGCTGCCGTCTCCGTCCTGTGGCCTACACGGGATTTTAGACTGACACACACCCTGTATATATTCCTACTATGGGAAAAGGGGCCGGAGGGAGGGGGTGTGAGGGTGTTCACGGTGAGGGAGCACTAGCCAGCCCGTCCCTCCTCCCTCACCCCTGCCCTTCTCCGCACCGGAAGTGCAGGCCCAGCTCTGTCAAGATCTCCATCTGCAGGGACAGGAACTCATCCAGCAGCTGTGAGCTCTGCTCCAGACCAGGGCCTGTCACCCCAAACATCTCCACCTGGGGCAGTGCAGTGGGCACACGGGTCAGGAGGCCCTGGGTCATTGCGGAGGCCCTCCTCCCCGGTCCCGGCTACACCAACCTTGGTGAAGTGGTGTACTCGATACAGTCCCCGTGGCTCCTTCCCTGTGTCTGTCTCGGCCCGGTAGCAGGTACTAGAACAAACCATCCTGGGGGAGCCAGGGAGGTGGAGTCAGGGAGGGGAGAAGGAACGTCACAGGTGGGGACATGTTCTACAGGAACCAGGCATCACCTGATCGGCAGATCCCTGAAGGCCACGGAGTGGTCCATGAAGTAGCCTAGGGAGAGAGGGGGACAGGATGGGTCAGCCAGGGCACCACCCACTCAGGAAACCTCTGGGAGAATTAGAAAAGGTGTCCCCTCTGGTATGTGGCTGGATCCTTACTGCGCTGTTGTGCAGTAAACGACCTACACAACTGTACGTGTTGGCCCTGGGGTCACTGAGACGTCCTAGGCAGGTGGTCATCACCCCTAGGATGGCCCTGGTTGTCCCCCTGCAATCTCTGGAGACATCCTCACCCCTGCTGTTGCCTCCAGGCAGGTGCTTACCTGCAAGCCCCACCTCTGCTGTCCCAGCCAGGTTGAGGTCTTCAAAGCGGGAGGGGTCGATGTTGTAAATCTGGGATGGGTTGGCATTTGGCGTCATCCCACAGCCTTCCTGGGGAGGCCAAGCCATTGAGGTCAGGGGACAGATGACCTCGGCCTCCATGTTGCAGTCACAACCCCTGGTCCTTCCCCGGAAGCTTCTAGAATTGCCCTGGACCCTCAACCCAGTCCCAGGGTGGCCTCTGCCGGGGAGACAGGCTGTTCTTTATGAGCGGGGTCCCCAGAACAGGGCCTGGCACACAGCCGGGCGTGGGGAGCACTCACAAACACAGCTCCTCGGAGGAGGTCTGGCACCGTCATGGGGGTGAAGCCCTGTGAAGAGGAAGGGGCTGGCTGAGGCGCACGGCCTGGACCCTCACCAGGCCCCAAGCTCAGACCTGAAGAAGCGACACTGCAGAGCAGGTCCATAGCTCCCACCTGTCCTTCTAAAACCCGTCCCGCCTCAGAGGAAACCGAGGAAGGCCCGAGTGGGGGGGCTTGGAGCCGTCCCTGGGCCCCCTCTCTGCTGGCGCTTCATGGTTTCCTCGCTCAGTTCATCCCGCCCAGGGTAGTGAGAGGTGGCGAAAGCTTTCTGTGGCTCCCCAGTGCCCTCCGGAAATGCCCGAGTCCCTTGCCGCCGCCTACACCCCACGCCTCCAGCTCCTGTTTCAGCAGCACGTTTCCCGACACCGACACCCCCTCTATGCTGCGGGCAGGCACTGAGGTCACACAGATCTGGGGCCAGCTCCAGGCAGCGGCCATCAGATCCTGGACTAGTTGCGCCCCCTGGAGGCCTTAATTTCTCCATCTCTGAAGTGGAGGTAATAATAGCACCTACACCTAACCTTGCTTTAAGAATTAAACGTCTTAACACGCCTAAAGTGGGAGCCTGGGTGGCTCAGTGGATGAGCATCTGCCTTCGGCTTAGGTCGTGACCTGGGGTCCTGGGATCGAGTCCCGCATCAGGTTCCCTACATGGAGCCTGCTTCTCCCTCTGCCTCTCTGTGTCTCTCATCAATCAATAAATAAAACCTTAAAAAAAGAATACACCTAAAGCTCTGTAACCAGTGACTGGAGCAGAGGTTACCCCCCACCTCCCCACCTTGAGCCTTTGAGTCTGTGTCAGTGTCACCCCCTCCAGGCAGCCCGCCCATCCTGGCCCATACCCGGTGGATGAGCTTGTTGAGTGTGAAGTTGACCAGGCCGTGCTGCAGGAGGGCACCAGCCCCACGCAGGTAATAGGAGCGGTGGCCGGACACATGGGACAGGCGCCTGGGAGACAGATGGGCGGACAGGCGGGTGCGTGTGGGCTGGGGCTGGTGGGGGGCAAGGGCGGCTCTTCTGCACCCCAGGGCAGAGGCCAGCTGCCAGGCGGGGGACCAGGCATCAAACATTCATGCGGGGTGAGGCCCTGGTGGCTGCACACCTGGTGCTGAGCCAGCTGCTGGGGCGGGGGGGGGGGGGGGGGGGCGGGGAGGGCCGCGAGCGGGCGGGCTCACTTCTGCCGGAGGATGTCGAGTTTCTCTGCGATTTCCAGGTGGCCCCGGGGTTGGAAGGAGAAAGCTGGATCGGGATGAAAAGCTGGATTAGAGAGACGGTGGGGAGGAGCGGCAGCGAGAGAGAGAGACACGGGGAGAGAGGAGAGGAAGGGAGGGGAGATGGTGGCAGAGACGGGACTGGCAAGCATAGAGAGCGATGGAGAGAGACACAAAGCAGAGAGAGAAAAGGGGCGAGAGGGTAAGGGGGAGAGAACATTAGGAAGAAGAAAGAGGGAGGTCGAAAGAGAGCCAGAGCCAAAGCCAGAGCCAGAGGGGAGTCAGGCAGGAAAACCCAAGGGAATCAGGGGCCCGAGTGAGACGGGACACCCAGAGGAGACAGGGCAGAGGAGGGGAGCACCGGGACTCTACAGGCTCCAGCCGCATCCGACCCCGGGGCCCCCCACCTGGCTTGTCTCCGACCACGTGGAGCACTCGGGCCTGGCTCTCGTCCCCGGTGGGCTGCAGAGAGACAGCGGGGGGTCCTGAGGAAGGTGGTCCCAGGCGGGCCCCGGGGCTCCCCCACGGCCCATCTCCGCTCACCACATCCGGGTGGGTCCGGTTGGGCAGCTTCAGCGCCTGTAGGTAGAACTGCTCCTTGAGCTGGGTCTCCTTGGGGTACAGGACCGTGAGCTGCTTGCGGATCTCCCGGCCATGTGCCCGCAGACTCTGATACTGGGGGTCCTGGGGGCGGGGCAGGCGGCGTCAGCTCAGGAAGGGGCAGGGTCCCTCAACCACTCTGACCTCGAGCAGAGCCTCGACCTTGCTGGGAGAGCCTCTGTGGTGGACACCCATTGTCTCTTTGGCCCAACGTCCTGAATTTCCTTCTGGGAAATTCCCTCACCTCACTTCACCACCACGTGGTATATCCAGTGGGTCATGGACTCAGGCCCGGCCTACCAGAACATTCCACTGCCTTGGCCACAGTGATTGGCTCAAAGACAGGCACGTGACCCAAGCGCCAGGACTATGGGTGCGGCTATGGGGGGGAAGTGGTCCCCTTGGCGCCCCAGCCAGCCTCCCCTTTCCTCTGAGGGGAGAAAGTTGGTCTGGGAACGAGAGGGAAGTAGAACCAAGTATGGAGCCAGGCCCTGGAGCCAGCCTCTTGTTTCATGAACGAACAGATTCACCTGGATGGACAATCCTGTTGTCTTCTGTTACAATGTAGGAATCGGGACTCACTTGGCACCTGCCCGCTCCCCCCAGGGATGGGACATCAGCCCCCTGTAGTACCTGCTGCACTTGACTGTTGTCCTGGTTTACCTGGTAGAAGAGAGGCGGAGGCGGTGATTAGGTTCGTGGGCCCGGAAGAAGGGGAAAAAAACAAGGGGTGTAAGGTCAAACAGGGGCAGGGGGTCAGGGGTAGGTGTGTGGAAGGGGTTCTGAATTCCTTGCTCTGCAGGAGCCTGGCCGGACAGACCTTCCTCTGCTCTGTGCCTCAGTTTCTCTATCAGGAAAGCTGGGAGGAGGCAAGACAACTGACAGTAATCACACCTGCCGCTCCGTTGACTGAGAGCCATGTCACACCTGTCTCTGCAGAGGCCTCTCATGTGGTCCTGTCTCTCCATAACCTACTCCATGATGTGGGCATCGGTAAATGACAAAACCGAGACTTGGAGACGTAAAGTCTGTGAACGTGCGACTTCCTACGACCCCGAGCAGCAGACGGAATCAGGCAGACCTGGGTCTGAACGTGAGGTGTCTCCCGGATGCGTGTCCTCGGGCAAATCTCGTCCCTCCTCCGAGCCTCGGGATTCCCATCTGTGAAATGGGCTAATCGGACGTCCCCAGCAGGGCTGCTGCATGGCTTCCGTGAGATGAGTTAGCACTCACTGAACATTTAACTGTGGTCACTTTTGTTGTCTGCACTGGCTGCCGGCCTGTGACGCATGTAGCCCGGGGCCTGGTGCGCAGGTCCCAGTGTCACAGGGAGATGTAATGAGTCTTGCAATTGGCCTTCGAGGGGAGGGGTGGGTGGAAAGCAGCCCGAATGCTTGGGTGCGAACCCTGCCTCTGCCACTTCTTTCTGGCTGTGACACTGAGGCACATTTTAACATCCTGGGGCCCCGGCTGTGTCAGTTGTAAATTGGGTCTGTGCTGTTCCTGTGTCACAGACTCGTGAGGGTCGCACCCAGAACAGTGCCTGGCACGCAGTGATTGCTATATAAATGTCTGCTGTTAATTTTAGGATTACTTTTCTGCCCCCATGGCAGACGTTATTGGCCATCTAACCCAAGACTATCTGCCCTTCCTTCTCCAATCCCACAGACACCTGACTCAGTTTACCCTCCCTGGGCACCCTGTAGTTCAGGGAACATGGGCTAAGCCAGGGGCTGCCTCTCAAGGAGTCCTAAGGCCACTGTAGTAACTCCATCCCTCCTACTGATGACAGGTGTGGGTGTCGGGTGTCTGGGCCCATGAGGCATGAAGGGACCCTGCTGGATGCTTCAGGAAAGGCCTCCCTGCTCTTGAAAAAGGACATGTGAGCCACCGAAGTCCTGCTTTCTGCCTTTGGCAAAGTCATGCAAAGAGACGCGGTACCGCGGTACTACGCCAGCCATCGTGGACTGCGAGAGGGGAAACTGAGGTCGAATCAGCACAGTGAAGCCCCCCCCACCTAGGACCCCCATGCTCACCAGCAGGGCCCGTACTGCCTCAGCCACAGTCCCCTTCTCTTCCTCCAGACTCCGGATCTGCTCCTGCAGCTGCCTCAGCTCCTGCCATGTTGAGATCTGGGGGTGGACACAGAGGGAAAGGTGTGAAGTGGTCTCTGTCTCCTGCCCCTTCTCGCTGGAGCCTGGCCCTCTGGCCACCTGGACCCCAGTGGCCCATCTCCCCTCCTGCCCTCCCATGCTAGAGCTCCCTGGTGTAAGGCATGTGGCTGCCCAGAATTTAGATACATTTCCCAGCCTCCCTTGCAGCTGCGTGTGCTCCTGGGTCCAAGACCAACCAATGGACATGAGTGGGCATGTGAGTCTTGGGTCACCTCCTTAAAGATAAGTCCCCATGCTGGACTTTCTGTCTCTCACTCCCTTGGACTGGATGATGGACTCTGAGGAGGGTCAAACCGGGTAGCATCCTAAGGGATGCGGAGCAAGAAGATGAAAGGACCCTCCATGCTGAAGGGCATGAGCTGAGGCCCTGCCAGCACTCACCTCTGAGTCTCACAGATGCGAAGCAGCCTCTGTCCTACGGTGTGTGCTAAACCTGTCCCCTCCACATGCAGGCTCAGCTCTCGTTCATGGGCACCCCTACTGCTGTCTGCTGTGAGGTCCTTCTGTGAGCCCACATCCCTGGGCAAACCCCATTGACCTCTCTGGCTGCAGTTCTCCCTTTGACAAAATGGGGCAAACAGCACAGCCCTACCCTCTGGGGCTGGAAGCCAGAAGGGGAGAGCAGGCCACAAAGTGGTTGGCTACCCATTGGGTGGCTCCCCCGGATGTCCCCTGAACACTTCACCACTCACTACGTGTAAGAGTGCCTTGAGGAAAAGCATCTCTCCCCCAGATCTGGCCCACAAACTCCCATCCCCCACCCCAGAGCCCTGAGCCTCCTGCTGGATGCCACCCCAGCTCTGTGGCCAGGTACCATGTCCTGACCTTTCTGCCTCAGGAACATCCATCAGGTCTGTCCTCCTCCCATCCCTTAACTCCTGCCCCAATCTAGATCCTGTCCTCTCCCATGAGGACCCCTGTGCCAGCCTCTCAGCCTGCAGGCTCACCTCCTCCAGCCAGAGTTCCTACACAATCCCTCTCCTGCCTGAAAGCACCCATAGCTCCCCAGGGTTCCTAGGAACAATTCACATGCCTTCTTATTGCCCATAAAGCCACATGCCATATTTTTCTTCAAACTTCATGCCCTAAAGAAGTTTTGCAAGCTTTAGGATGTGATCCATTAGTAGGTTATGAATAATTTAGGATCTCTAAACCAGCACTTTAGAAGGCTATGGTAGGGGTGCCTAGGTGGCTCAGTTGGTCAAGTGTCTAACTTTGGCTCAGGTCATGATTGCAGGGTCCTAGATCCAGCCCTGTGTCAGGCTCTGCACTCAACAGGCAGATTGCTTCTACCTCTCCCTCTGCTCCCCTGCTACGTTCATGCACTCACTCTCTCTCTCTCTCATAAATAAATAAAATCTTAAAAAAAAAAATAGGGATGCCAGGGTGTCTCAGTGGTTGAGCATCTGCCTTCGGCTCAGGACGTGATCCCGGCGTCCTGGGATTGAGTCCTGCACTGGGCTCCGTGCAGGAAGCCTGCTTCTCCTTCTGCCTATGTCTCTGCCTCTATCTGTGTATGTCTTTCACGAATAAATTTTTTTTTTTACGAATAAATTTTTTAAAAAGATCTTTAAATAAATAAAGAAATGGCTATGGTAAGTAAAATATACATAAAATTTGCCATTTTAACCATTTTTAAGTGTATAGTTCAGTGGCATTAACTACATTTGCAACGCTAAGCAGCCCTCTCCACCAGCCACCTCTGGAACTTTATCTTCCCAAGCTGAAACTCTACACCAACTTCCCATTCCCCGCTCTCCCCAGCCCCTGGCAACCACCACTCTATTTTCCGTCTCTGTGAATTTGACTACTCTAGGTACCATGTATGAATGGAATCATACAGTTTTGTCTTTTTGTGATAGCCTTATTTCACTTAGCATAACGTCCTCAAGGTTCTTTCATGTTGTAGCACGTGTCACAATGTCCTTCCCTTTTTACTGAATCATATCCCACTGTAACGCATGTACCACATTTTGTGTATCTATTCAGCCATCCATGGGCACTTGGGTCGCTTCCATCTTTCGGCTCCTGTAAATAATCCTGCTATGAACATGGGTACGCAAATACCTGTTCAAGTGCCTGCTTTGACTTCTTTGGGGAATATACCCGGAAGTGGGATTGCTGGATAATATGGTAATTCCATGTTTAATTTCTTGAGGAACAGCCACACTTTTTAAGTAATTTTTCTGGGCCTTAGTTTCTCCTCTAATGAGGGCCATCATGGCACCATAGGGTGGTTGTGAAACTGAAATGAGGCAAAAATGTACAGAGCCCTTAGAACAGGACCATCCTTAGCACCCCAGCAAGGTCTAGCAATATGGTGACTCTGCTTCTCGTTCCGTGGCAGGTAGTATTATATTATTTACCCCCTTATCCTCAACACATAGTAGATGCTGGGACATAGTAGATGCTGCTGAAATAGCTGCAGGTAGAACGATTCATTCATTAAATATTTGGCTGCCTGCTACCTGTGGGGCAGGGGCAGGACTCTACCTCTTACTCTCCAAAGGCAGATCCCTCCACCTTCTGATTTACACCCCACCCCTTCATTTTTTGCCCCTTTCCCCCATTTTTTTGTGGTCTTAAGCCTGGCATGTGGGAAGTTCCTAAGCGCAAAGCAGGTATTCAGCACGCTTTACGAAACAGACGCATCATGGGCGTGTAGACACGAGGACCCTGGCACTCCGTGCATAACTGGCACAGACGTGGGTGCCAAGCACGTGTTGGCTAAACCTGGGAAAGAACTAACATTCCTGCGATAGGTTCGCCCCCTGCCGGAGGGTCTCCTGCAAGCCCAGCGCGGCCCCGCGGCTGACGGCCGGCGCAAGCGCACTCACGATCGCGGGCAGGTCTTCCGGCCGCAGCTCCCCCTTGCGGAGCTGCAGGGCGCGCGCGGCCTCTTCCGGGCATGCGCACAGGCGCTCCATGTCCAGCTCAGGGAGCGCGCTGTAGCCCTCGCGCGCGTGCTCGTACAGGAGGTTCCGGTCTCGTCTCTCCGTGGCGAAAATTCTCCTCGGGCTATGGCTGCGGACGCAGCCTCTCCGGGGCCGAAGACCCCGACCAGCCACCAAAGGCCACAAGCGGCGCGCCATGGACGCAGCCATCTTGGACAGGGGACAAGGAGTCGCGCACCCTTTGCCCCGCCCACTCCGCGTTTAGACCAATTGCAAAGCAGCTGCGACCCGGGAAGGCGGTGAGCGCCGCTCCCGTCTGCGACGCAGGTCGGCAGAAAAAACTGACCGAGATTGACTCTCTCGCTGACCAATCGTGGTCTACGCCCCGCCCCCTCAGCGTACACGACAGGCAGATCCAGCCAATCCCTGGCAGGGTGGCCTCCGGGCGGGGCTAGAGGTCGCTTCCTCGCGCCTGCGGACCTTGCTAGGGTGGGTGATGGAGCCCCTGCTTCTCAGGACCTCCCGGGTCTCTCCTCAGTTTCCCTTCTGTGTGCGGGGGGTGGGGGGTGGGGAGAGGTTGCTGGGTGCCCGGAGTCTACTCAGAGCGAAAGAAAAATTGACGGAGGGAATTTGTGTCAGCAGCGTGAGGGGTTAGACTGTCAGGAAATTCCTCGGATTTAAATCCGAAGGCTCTGAGGACGGGATGGGGAGGATTTGGGCCCTGCCCGGGCTACGGCCAGTCCACTTTTCCTTCCTGATTCTCTTATCCTCCATCGCAGGGAACCTGCAGACGGCGGGATGTCCTGGTCCGGCCTTCTCCGTGGCCTCCGCGCGTCCCTAAGTTATGGTAAGTTGGGATCTCGAGCTGCAGAGACGCAGCCGGACGAGGGTTTTCCGCGCTGGGACTTGGGTGCCTCTGCCGCAGCCCCCGGGGAATCGCGGTTTAAAACTAGGGATGCGTGGTGGGTGTTAGCAGAGCTCGCGCTGCAGGGGTGACGGGGGAAGTCGTTGCATTGGGGGCGTCGTCGGGTCGGTTGGGTCAATTATTGATTTCTTCAGCAAATACTTATTAAATACCACCCCCCCCCCCCCGGGTGGGTGAGACATCCAAGCAAAGCGTTTAACTCATTCGTCCAGCTGGTATTTTTCAAGATCCTAGTGTGTGCCAGGTACGGAGGGGGATGCTTAATTTACGTCCTTACTGGCTCTAGGGACATCACATCCTTCTCCTGGCCATGCCCTTTACGAGGTATTTCAGTCACTTATTCACTCTTTGCAGATATTTATTAAGCACTTTCTGGTTGCCACACCCTGCCAGGGAACTAGGGTAGATTTTTTTTAATTTTTATTTTTTTAAGATTTTATTTACCCATGAGAGACCTACAGAGGGGTAGAGACGCAGGTAGAGGGAGAAGCAGGCTCCCTGCGGGGAGCCTGATGCGGGATTCGATCTCAGGATCACAAGCTGAGCTAAAGGCAGGTGCTCAACCACTGAGCCATCCAGGTGTCCCAACTCTGGGCTGGCTTGACATGTGTCTCTCAGGGTAGCCCCTCATACATGTACTCGGGGGGCGGGGGGTAGGTGTGATTATGGTGCCTGTGACACAGTGAGGACATGGAGGGGCAGAGTCTTGCTTAAGGCATACCACTTGGAAGAGGCTATCACCAAGAGGAAGAAGGGGAATGTCTCATCCCTTTTAAGGATTTTGCTGTAATTTGACACGTAAGGAGACATGGAAATAGACATAGGGCCAGGACTGGCCCTGGATATGGAGGGACTGTAAAGTTTGGGTGCCAAAAGGCATCCATGCTAGTTACAGGAAAAGGATAACCTAAAGCCCTGAACTGGGAGCCCCAAGAGGGTGTGCCAAGGGCTGTCTCTGTCACCACAGTGCCTCCAGGATTGGGGCCAAGACAGGGTGCTCAATGAATGCTGAAGAGGATGCAGTTATGGTCGTATCTTCTGACATCCTACATCCTACATCCTATCCATAAGCAAGTCCCATCAGTCTGCCTTGGAAATATATAGCTCTGCTCCCCCCACCCTCAGTCTTCTTAGTAGGCTGCAGCCACACTGGTCTTTCTTCCTTTTTTTTTTTTTTTTTAAGATTTTATTTATTTATTCATGAGAGACAGAGAGACAGACACAGGCAGAGGGAGAAGCAGGCTCCCTGTGGGGACCCCAATGTGGGACTCGATCCTGGGACCCTGGGATCACAACCCGGACCGAAGGTGGTGCTAAACCGCTGAGCCACCCAGGCTGCCCGACTGGTCTTTCTGTTGGTGTGTCTAGGGACACTGGCTGGAGCAGGATGAGCAAGGGGGCTAGTAGGAGAGATGAAGGTCAGGGAAGTAATGGGGGCAGATCAACTGGGGCCTCATGGGCCATGGGAAGGACTTTGGCTCTTCCCTAAGTCAGAGGGCTCTGAGCAGGGGAGGGACATGGCCCAGGTGTCCACAGGGTCCCTCCAGCTGCATGTGGGGACTAGAGTGTAGGAGGAGGGAGGAGTAGGGATCAAGAGACGAGCCTGGACAGGCCCAGAGGCGATGCAGTGGAGAGAGGAAGGGGTCTATATGAAAGTTCAGCTGACATCATCTACTTATGGGGGCTGGAAGTGAGTATGACAGGGAGGAGGAGGGACCCCTCCCCAAAATATCCCGTTGGGTTGCTCTGGAGATGGCGTGAGTCAAGGTGGGTACAGTGCACAGAATAGTCCCTGACATGGTGTCAATCTGTTCGCTTTTATTATTATTTTTAAGCAGGATTAAAGTCAGTACCTTCCTTGCAGCATAAAATGAGTTAATCCACATTAAATGTTTAAAACAGAACCTGACACTACTCCTATTTGTGACCGCCCCTAGACGTAAACACATCCTTGTAAAGTGCTTGGAACAGTGCCCAGAACTCTTACCCCTTTACTGGGATAATAACCACCCCCTATTGTCCCCGGTTGTGTGTCTCCAGGCCAAGCCCTGGCCTCCCAGCTGTGGACCACCCGCACCATGGCCACCCTGAACCAGATGCATCGCCGGGGGCTTCCGAAGTGGCCGCCTCCACCTTTGGGCCCCACGGCTGGCCGGCCGCAGCTGAAGGGAGTGGTTTTGCGCACATTCATCCGAAAGCCCAAGAAACCCAACTCGGCCAACCGCAAGTGCTGCCGTGTGCGGCTCAGCACAGGCCGAGAGGCTGTATGCTTCATCCCCGGAGAGGGTCACAGCCTGCAGGAGCACCACGTCGTGCTCGTGCAGGGTGGCCGCACCCAGGACCTGCCTGGTGTGAAGCTCACTGTTGTGCGTGGCAAGTATGACTGTGGCCATGTGCAGAAGAAGAAGTGACTGTCCAGGCCGCAGCAGGCTGGGGTTCACCCAGAACAGGATCTTCCTCTCTGGAGGCCTGCAGTATTCTTGGGAAGCTATTCCAGTTCTGGAAGCACCTGGTCCTGGGTTCAAGTCCTGGCTTCGCCTCTTCCATCTGGAACACTGCTTGCCCATAGGGGTTCTGGATGTGAGTTAGGAAAAGCACCCCTCTGTCTACACCCTTGCCTTCCTTGTGTAGTGCATTGACTCGGGACCTCTTCTGCTGAGATAAGGAAGGCCCTGTACTGCCGTCTCTGGGAAGGGGTTGCAATAAATACAGACATACACACCCCCATGGTTGTAATGTGAACCCTTTTGCACAATATTTGCCCGCTGCGTGGTATTAGCCACTGACGTCCCTTATGGGCTTCAGTTTTCTCCAGAAAATAGCTCTACCCATAGTATCCTCCTTGTTGGGTTTGGTGAAGATTAAATTTGTTGCTCTGAGTACATGACATGCAGGTGGCTACTCTCTTGGGAGTTTTGGAGTCAGGTAGGCAGCACCAAGGTCCATTTCCCTTTCCTGCAGGCCCAGGATCTGGGCAAGGACAGACGACAGGTCCTTCAGCTTCCTATCTGTGGAAGGGGTATTGAAAGGATTGGATGGGATGCACTGCTGCCTGCCTGGGAGCTGTTCTGGGTTATTTTCAGACTCACACGCACCTGGGTCTGAATCCTGGCTCTCCCTCTTTGTTCTGTGACTTTGGATATGTTTGTTCCTCCCTTAAGAAGTGGCACCAAGAGTAATACTGACCTCACCTGACCACGTGCTTGGCCATGTTAGATTTTACCATTTGGGAGCTGTCCTATCATTGGGCTTGGTGCAGGTCCTGCTTCCCCTGCTTACCTACCGGGTGACCTTGGGCAGGCCATTTAAACTCTGAGCCTGTTTCCTCCTGGACCAAATAACAGCGCCTGCCTTCCATTTACTGCATGGAGCTTTGTACACCTAAAGTTCTCATGGTTGGAAACATCCCACAAGGCCTTTTAGGATCAGGGCTGGGGGTGGACAGTGCATTGATTATAGACAAAAGTCCCCTGTCATTTCACATTTAGCACCAATTTTATTGAGCTAGTTTGTTGGCTGGGCCCAGCTGGGGAGATAGCAGGAGACACCAGGGAGGCAGGCAGGCGCTCTTTCCCTTGTGGCATGCCTTGCTCCTGGAGTCTGTACACCAGAGAGTAGAGAAAAGCAGTCTGTTGCCCAGTAGGAGGGGAGCTGTCCTGAGGTAGGGGCAGGAGGTAGGGTGGGGGACATGGTTTGGGGATCAGCAGGGACTCCAGAATTCTGAAAGAAACTGCACCAGCCAGGCCCAATGGGCAGGTGCTGATAGGTGGTGCTGGAGGAGGTTGCACAGGCTCCACATCCGAATCCCAGAGACTCCCCAAGACTGCAGAGAGGGTCCCCTTTGATGCTCCTGTTAGTGACCTCAAGGATAGACCCCCGCCTAACCTCTGCTCCCTGCTAGCAGCTGGGATCCCTCCCAGTCATTGTCCCAGGTTGTCAGCAGCTTTCCCCTACTATTCCAAATCCTGGTTTGGCCTTTGTGTGTTGACTGAGTCTACTGACCGACATCCACGCATGTAAGAAAACAATTTGCAAGCAAAGTAAACATCTCTGAGTCACTTTGAGTGACTTCCCCCACCCCAGGAAGCTGGGGCAGTGTGAGCAGCCTGGTTGGATTCCAGTTTCTTGCACAGCATGTGGGCCACCATGCTGAAGCAGTAGCAAGTGGGGTTCACTGGAGGTCTGCCGGGAATGGGCCACATGGGACCCCCACTGTCTACAGGCTTCTGGCTCCCGGCTGCAAAGCTGCTCTTGACCAATGATGATGTCCGGCAGATGGCAGTACACATTCTGGAAGGCTGGGTCACCCTGGTTGGCTAGGACAGGCGGATCCTAACCCTCACGCTGGAGTGGGTCACCAGGGCACCATAGTGCCCGACCCAGGAACGCGTGTCTCTCCCATACTGCTCAAAAGACACGTAGCGGATGCCCTTGCCGAAGTTGGTGAAGACATGAGACACCTGCATGGGGAAGGAGAGCGAGAAAGTGAGGACCTGTGGGGCCTTCTCTTCCTCCACCTCCTCAACAGGCACTCCCCAAGGACTGGTGAGGTACCAGGCCCTGCTCTAGGTGCTGGGGATATTGCAGTGAAGAAAACAAAAAGGCCCTTCCCTGGTAAAGCTGACAATCTTTTTTTTTTTTTTAAGATTATTTATTCATTCATTCATTCATTCATTCATTCATTCATTCATGAGAGACACAGAAGGAGCAAGAGGCAGGCACAGGCAGAGGGAGAAGCAGGCTCCATGCAGGGAGCCTGACGTGGGACTCGATCTTGGGTCTCCAGGATCACGCCTCTGGCCAAAGGTGGCGCTAAACCGCTGAGCCACTGGGACTGCCCAAAGCTGACAATCTAGAGGGAGAGTCAGACCCTGAAGACAGCTGCAGGTAAGGGGCAGGGGCGTGAGGTTAAGTGAGTGAGCCGAGGCACCACTAAGGCAGTATTTAGCAGAGACCTGAAGCGGGGAAGGAGCCATGTGGGGATCAGGACAAAGAGTGTTCCAAACAGAGGAACGGTCAGCGCAAAGGCCCTGAGGTAGAATTGTGTCTGGAGCAGAGTGAGAGGAGAACAGGAGGTGGCGTTGGGGGTAACGGGCTGATCATGAGGGACCTTGTGGGCCATGGCAGGACTTTGGCTTCTGGCTTTTCTTATCTTGTGAAGATTTTTTTTGTTGAGGTAATATTCACTTAACAAAATGCTCCATTTAAAACTACAATTTCATGGTTTTTAGTATATTCACAATGTTCTGCAACTATGACCACTATCTAATTCTGGAACATTTCCATCACCCCAGAAAAAAGCCTCATATCCATTAGCTGTCACTTCCAATTCCTCCTCCTAGCCAACCTATCTGCTTTCTCTTTCTATGAGCTTTGCTGCCTCTGGACATTTTGTATAAATGCAATCCTACAATATGCGGCCTTCTGTGCCTGGCCTCTCCCTAGCATCCCCCTAGCATCCCACTGCCAGGGTTCATCCATGCTGTAGCATGGATCCACACTTCATCCCCTTTTATAGCTGCATGATAAAACTTGGGCTTTTCCTCTGAGATGCAGCCCTCAGAGGAAAGACTTGTGATCTGACTCACTTTTAAATGGGCTCTTTCTGGATCTGTGTTGGGTGGGGAGGAGGAGATCAGGAGAGGAAACAAGGCCACCTCAAAAGTTACTTTGATTTTTTTTTTTTTTCAGAGAGAGCATGCCCAAGCTGGGGGTGGGGGGCGGAGGGGCAGAAAGAGAGAGAGAATCATAAGCAGGCTCCGACACAGCGCTCAGTCTCACGACCCTGACATCACGACCCAAGTTGAAATCAAGAGTCAGATGCTTAACCGACTGGGCCCCACAGGCGCCCCATAAAAGTTACTTTGGTAACAGATGTGATGACTCCATGAACAAGTTTGGGAGTCTGCCTGGGTGTGCATGGAGCCCTGCATGCTTTAGTGTGACTCGGGGCCAGTCACTTAACTTTCCATGCTCTAGAATGGGGATAGAGGAAGGACTTTGATTTGCGCGCCCCCCCCACCCCCGCATCCCAAGCATCTAGAGCAGTGCCCAGCACACCGCAGGTGCTCTGCTAATAAAATGAATCGGTTGGCAAAACTCTTGGAAGAGCGTCCAGGATGAAGTAAGGGCTCGGTGATTGTTCGTGGTTATTGTGAGAGACATTCGGTCGTGGTGAGGGCTGAGAAGGGAAGCTGAGCAGGCAGGCGGTGGGGTGTGTCTTTGCGCAGGCCAGGGTGGTGTGGAAGGCAGTCTGGACCCACCTGTCGGCAGCCTCTCTCAGTCCACTGAAGAACTGGGTTGGGTGAGGCCGAGAACTTGACCACTTCGTTTTCGTACGTGTCCAGGAGGCGGACCCGGAGCCGGTAGATGCAGCCACAGTTCTCTCTTGCACCCCACCTGCCAGGTGGTGGTGAGCCTTGATGCCCCCGCCACCCACCTGGTCTCCAGGATGGGGAGAGGGAGGCTGAAGGTTAAGCCTCCCTGCACCCCAGTGAGGGGCGCACATACCCACACCACATACAGAGAAGTCAGGGCCTGGGAATTTGCTGGGAGGATCCTGGGTGCTCTTGGGGTGGATTCTAGAGGCTTTGCGTTGGATGTGTGCATGCCCCTGTGTGTGTGTGTGTGTGTGTGTGTGTAGGGGGAAGGAGTATGATGTCTGGGATGGAACCACAACCCCTTGGCTCCCTGACCCCAAGGAGGGGAGGAGGAGCCTGGGTATTTCTGGGGAGGAGCCAGAGCCAGGGGGAAGAAACTAGACTTTGTGGAGGAGCAAGAGCTTGAAGGAAGAGCCTGAGTGCTTTGTGAAGGAACCGGGGTGCTCTGGAACCAGTGCCCCCTGCCAACTTTGCCCCTCTAAGTCTCAGTTCTCAGGACACAGTGCTCTGAACCTTTCTGAGGCCTTGGGTATCCACAGGCCCTTAGGGTTTGTGCTGAGTGTGGGCAATGAGGGTGGAGTGGGTGAGATGGGGCGTTTATTTTAGGCCAAGCCAGTCAGTGGCCCCCTTGTCAACCTGGGGCCCCCTGAAGAGGGACAGGGAAGCATGCAGGGGGTGGGGGCTTTGGGCTCCTCAGGACTCTGCCCCCCCCCCCCCCACCGCCGCCTCTGAAACATGAGAGCATCCTTTCCCCTCTCACCCTCACTATGAAGGGCGCACAGTAGCATGGCCAGGCCAGGGGGCTGATAGGTGCACAGGGAACCCTTTCAGCAGAACTGCTGCCAGCCCTGAGGGTGCTCAGAGCAGGTTGCCATTTTTTACTCACCAGTCGGCCACACAGATCTCGATCTGGGCACTGTCCAGCAGCTCCTGCCACACTCCCTCCATCACCAAGTCTACCAGCTGCCTCTTGAAGCACCATCTGGGAAGGGGAGATGGTGTAGGGGTGAGGCAGAAAGTCACAGCCCAGAAATGACCTCCTCCAAGAAGCCTCCCAACACCCCTGTGTGAAGCAGGCCCGTGGGGTTCGCTCTACTAGACAAGATGTATGATGGGCTGGGCATTCCCACATCCCCTCCACCATGCTCCACCATGCTCTGGGCTCCAGGAGGCTGACCTGTATGTCCCTGTATGTCCCTAGAACTGTGGGGACTAGAACATGAGGACACATGGAGGCCCACATTGAGCAGGGAATTCTGGAGCCTCTTAAAGTGCAGAGCCCTAGGGTCTGAGGTTGCACTGCCTATATGGATAGGCCTCCCTTACCCTCCCCTTTCTGCTGGGTCAGCCAATGGGAAGCTCTAGCAGGAGAGGGAAGGAGGAGAAGAGAGTAAAATCAGGTTATTTAGCCTCCTGGCTCCCTCCAAAGGGATCACTGAGGGACTGCTGTGTCTCTCCATGGAAGGGCACAGCTCCACAGGGCCCTCTCCTCACAGCCTTCCCTCTCTTACGGCTCAGGAACTGCTTCCTCCCCTTACCCTTGTCAGGCTTAGGGCTGGTAATGACCCTTTCCCTGTTACCAGCCCGGGGTTCATGTCCTATCCCTTGTGTCTGCCTACACCTTTGTAAACAGTCCATCTCCCCTAATTTGAATATGCCATCGTCATAGAAATAGTGTAGTCCTGGTGGAAGAGCTGATAAGCTGACCAGTGGAAGAGAACAGAGGGCTCAGGGACAGACCTAGGTATATACGGAAACTGTAAGTGATAGACGCAGCACACCACATTCAAAGGTGGATTAAAGATCTAAATGTGAAGGATAGGGGATCCCTGGGTGGCTTGGCAGTTTAGCGCCTGCCTTCGGCCCAGGGCGTGATCCTGGGTACCTGGGATCGAGTCCCACATCGGGCTCCCTGCATGGAGCCTGCTTCTCCCTCTGCCTGTGTCTCTGCCTCTCTCTGTGTCTCCCATGATTAAATAAATAAAATCTTAAAAAAAAAAAATAAATGGGGCAGCCCTGGTGATGCAGTGGTTTGGCGCCGCCTGCAGCCTGGGGTGTGATCCTGGAGACCTGGGATCAAGTCCCACATCGGGCTCCCTGCATGGAGCCTGCTTCTCCCTCTGCCTGTGTCTCTGCCTCTCTCTCTCTCTGTCTATGAATAAATAAAATCTTAAAAAATAAAATAAAACCTTTAAAAAAATAAAAAATAATAAATATGAAGTATAAAACTGAAGTCACTGGAAGAGATTATGAGAGAATACTGTTAGGATCTAGGGGTAGGGAGGGATTTTTTACACAAAATTTCAAAAAGATTCTAAAGCAAAGGAGAGATGAATTTGATTATATGAAAATAACAGAACACCATGAACAGATACAGTTAATAGCAATGGTAGAGTGAGAGATTCCCACAACGTCCAGGATGGACAAGGGGCTAACATTTAAAAGATGCAAGGAGTTCTTGTTTTGTTTTGTTTTTTTTTTTTAAGATTTTTTATTTGTTTATTCATGACCGAGAGAGAGAGAGAGAGAGAGAGAGAGAGATAGAGGCAGAGACACTGGCAGAGGGAGAAGCAGGCTCCATGCGGGGAGACTGACGGGGGACTTGATCCCAGGTCTCCAGGATCAGGCCATGGGCTGAAGGCGGCCCTAAACCACTGAGCCACCCGGGCTGCCCGCAAGGAGTTCTTGTATATCAACAGGAATAAGACATCAACCCTAAGAGAAAATGTGAATAGGCAATTTCCAAAAGAGGGAATCCAAAAAACTGACAAGCACGTGAAGAGATGAATTGTTAGTAAATCAAAACATGCAAATTAAAACATCAAGACATCACTTAACCCCTATATACTGGCAGCTACTAGACGGTTGGATAAGGCCTTCAGAGAATGAATATGGGGGGAGGCAGCGAGGACGATGGGTCTGGGGCATGAGAATAAAGAGCATCAACCAGTCAGCTGTTCTGATGTCTTCGTAGAATTTATCTCCGTCAGAAGCTCGGAAGCCAGATTACCTGGATTCAAATCCCAGCTCCACCATGTATTAGATGACGACGACCCTTTGCGCCCGTTTCCTATTATAAAGTGGAGATAATGCTATGTATGTCACAGAGTGGTTGTCAGGATTCAAAGGGTTAATATGTGAAGCATCTGGCACCGAGCAAATTCTCCAAAGATCTGTTATTTTGTTGTCATTATGTCTGTGTTTAATGTCTCCCCCGCCCCCTTTCTGAATGTTCCCCGTATCTCTGGCTTATAAAACCGTGCCTGGCGGGCCCTCCACAAGTATTTGAATGAGCGAACGAGGGAAGGAGAGGGTGAAGGTGAGTGAGGATGAGGACCGAGGGGTTGGTCCCCCTCCTTCCTCGGGGCCGTGCCCCAGGGGTCACGGGCCACTCACTGGAAAGAAGTCACGAAGCAGGTCTGGGAAGGAGCCCCCGGCACCAGCGTTAGGTTCTTTTCCACGGCCCAGCCATTCCCGCCGTGCTCCACCTCCCAGCCTCTGAAGCCCTCTGTGGGACACAGCGGGGTTTTAGACGGGGACTCCCCGGCCGCGCGCCCCGCCCCCAGCCCCGTCTCCCTTCAGCCCCCGCGTCTACTCGGCTTCTCCCGGCCCCGCCCCCTCCTACCGCAGGCTTCCGGCTCCGCCTACTGGCTCAGTGTCAAGGCTTCTCAGTTCTACGCAAGCTCCGCCCCCGCCAGCACCAATCAGCTTTCTCCCGGCTCTCCCCTCCTTGGCTCCTCCCTCCTTGGCCCCGCCCACCGAGTCTACAGTCCTAGCGCGCGCCGCTCCCCGCGCTTTCTCGCCCATCCAGTTTGTCTCCCTCCGCGGTCCGCAGCACCCGGCCCCTCCCACCCCGTGCCTCTCCCAGCCCCGCCTCTTCCCGCGGCCACGCCCCCTGGCGCCCGCCCGGGCCCCGCCCCGTCCAGTTGGCCCCGCCCCCGGCACGCACGCTCGCCGCAGGAGTTGAAGATGAGGTTGCGGCCGAGGGGCGCGCGCAGGCAGTAGCGGGCCAAGGCGCAGAGCGGGAACTCCTCGTCCTCGCCGTGGGGCGGGCAGCGCTGGGCCACCGCGTAGAGCGCGCGGCCCTCGGCGCTGCGGTCGCGGGCCAGCTGCAGCAGCCACACGGTGGGTCCGTCCACCACGTCGCGCCAGGCGCGGCACACTGCGCGGCAGCGGGTCACGAGCGCGCGCGGAGGCACGTGGCTCAGCACCTGCACGAGCAGCTCCGGGGGCAGCGCGTCCAAGGCGATGGGCGGCTCCGCGGGCAGCTGCCGCCGCGAGGGCCGGGCGCCCATCTCCGGCCGCCGGAGTCCTGCGGGTTGAGAGGGGTCAGCAGATCAGGGACGTTCGGTCTCCCTACATCTCTCCCCGGACACAAAGTCCCTGCGGCTTGACCATGACCCCATCAGCTCCCGTGGGGGACCGGGACTGCAGGGTGGGGGTGACTGCCACGGCCGTGCAAACCGGGCGCCTAGTTACTGCCAACTGGCTCAGGCGATGGGCTTCTCACCCTGACCCCCTCGAGCAGAAGACCCCTGGTGTGAGCAGGGCTCCCCCAGGACCGCTAACCATATCCGGCCGGGGCACTTGCGTCAGGCTAAGCAGTTTTCATGTATGACCATGAGCAACAGAAAAAACCACCGAGGAGGGAACCGTCTCCACCCCGTACCCCAACCTGCCCCAGCTCTTCCCGCCCTTGGAACTCAGGAACTGCCTTCAGCAAAACCTATTTCCTCAGTCTCTCCCCTGAACATTCTTGTCACCTCGCTAACCAAAACCCAGCTCCGCTGTGGCCCTTTCAAGCGGGTAAATCTTGCTCCTGGTGCTGCCTCCAAACCATTCTCCCATCTTCCCCCAAACTGCCCAGCAAGATTCCCATCAGAGTAGATGGTTCGCTACCCTGCCGTGTGCGTCATCTGCTGATCCAGATCACTGCTCACTTCATGATTTTAGCTCCAGGCTCACTGCCACTCAGGCTGCTCTTCTCAACATTCCTGGTGATTTCCACGTCCAGGTAGATGATCCTTCCTTGGGCCACCCGCCTCTGTTCCCTGACCTGCTCTCCCCTCAGCCTCTCCCTTCCATGGTCACACTTAGACCTCGTCTCAGTAACCACCGTCTTCAGATCTTCAATCTCAGGGAGCTCACTCTCCACCCCTAACCCCTTCAGGCTCCAGCTCTTTCCTTCTAGCCGCCCCAGACACCCCCTCCCTGATTCTTCTAGCCCGCTGTGATCCCCCATCCTTTGCATTTACCTCCTTTGCACTAACCCTCATCCCCTCGAGGCTTCATTTCTTCCTTATCCCGCTGAAATTGCTTAATCATTAAAAACATTCTTTGCACACATCCTTGTCGCTGGCTCCTCCAACACATGTCCCTGGTGCAATCCAGCCCTCTGCCCCCCTATGGCTGTATCCAGTTTAAGGTGGCCGAAGAACGCACAACTCCACTGGCTGGTCTCACTCCAAGGTTGTGAACTTGACCCTCAAGCTGGGAATGCTGCCTGGCAATCAGAATAACGTTTGTCACCCACGGGCTCCTCCTCTCTATAGAGAACTCTTCACACATTCTCCCCCAGCCCCTAGCTCATCACACCTCCCTCCACCTCTTCATTTCCCCTTTGCTTCTTACTTTGCAGAAAAAATTACAAGTGATAAGTCAACTTGCCAGGTGCCCGCCACCCTGTCTACCACCTGCCCTGTGGCCTCTGTGCTCCCACCAGCCCCCCACCCGTGACTGCCCTACAAACGTCAGCCCTCTGGGTGGCCTCCTCCCACCCCTCCCGCCCACTTCAGGCCACAGTCTCACAGTTCTTGCTGTCTGCTGCACCTTGGATACCCCTCTGCACTGGATCATTCTCAGCAGCCCACGCGGTGTCATCCCTCTCGTCTGAAAACAAACCCTCTCTTGACTTCATCTCCCCTTCCAGCTATGGCCCCATTTCTTTGCTCCTCTTTATGGTTAAACTTCTCAAAAAAGGTGTCTCCAGTGTCTGCCTCCAAATTTTCTACTTCTATTCTCTCTTAAACCTTCTTTAATCAGGCTTTGCAACGCTCCCCCTGCCCTGAAATGTCAAGGTCATCTTGGTGCTAACTCAAAGTCAAGGTTCAGTCTTCACTTTGCTTGACCTGTTAGCAGCACCTGGCACTGAGGTGACTCTCCCTTCACTTGGCTCCAAGCCACCACACCCCCTGGACTCCTCCCCTTGGCCTGGTGGCTCCTAGTGAGGCTCTTGGGCTGTTCATCCTCCTGATCTGGCAATGTCAGAGACCCTCCTGTAGTCTCCATCACGACTCACTCCCTTGGGGATCTCGCTTCTTCACACACCTCCCACCTGGCCCATCACTGTCTCTCTCTGCTTCTTTCCCCAGTCGTCTGTTCCTCACTAGTAGCCAGGTCGGCTGTGGGGAGCACCTGAGTCAGGTCCTGTCCCTGCCTTGCTCAGAAACCCCCTGGGGTTCCACCTCACTCAGGATAAAGGCAGCATCCTCACTGTGGCTCAGAGGCCCCACACAGTCTGTCCCATCACCTGCTTACCCTCACCTTCCCCTCACCCAGTCTGCCCAGCCACACCAGCCTGGACACCTCAGGCCCTTTGCACATGCTCTTCCCTCCACCTGGATCCAGAGGATTGCTATGCTTGTCTCCACACATGAAGTCTTTGCCCAAATGTCAGCTTGTCCATGAGACCATCCTTGGCTACCTTATTTCAAGGCCTTATGACCACCACCTACTCCCCCTTCCCTTATACTTCTCTAAAGTTCTTGTCACCTCTTAACACACCACACATCTAAATATATGTAATTTACTTAATGCTTTAAAAAAAAAGATTTAAAAAAAATTTTTTTATGATAGTCACAGAGAGAGAGAGAGAGAGAGAGAGAGAGAGAGAGAGACAGGCAGAGGGAGAAGCAGGCTCCATGCACCGGGAGCCCGACATGGGACTTGATCCCGGATCTCCAGGATCGCACCCTGGGCCAAAGGCAGGCACCAAACCGCTGCGCCACCCAGGGATCCCAAAAAAAAGATTTTAAGTACTCTCCACACCCAACATTGGGCTCGAGCTTACAGCCCCAAGATCAAGAGGTGAACGCTCTAACGACTGAGCCAGCCAGGTCCCCCTACTTAATACCTTTTTTACCATGGGGGCAGATCTGTTCCTTCTTTTGCATACTGGATACCATGGTGTCCGTACCAGTGCCTGACACATAATAAATGTGCAATGAAAAGATGTTAAGTGTACGAACAAATGAATCATCATGTCGGAAACCCACTCCACAGATGAGGAAACTGAGGCACAGGAAGGTGAAACACCTTTATTTAACAAGAACTCAGTGACTAGGGATGCCTGGGTGGCTCAGAGGTTGAGCATCTGCCTTTGGCTCAGGGAGTGATCCTGAGGTCCTGGGATTGAGTCCCACATTGGGCTCCCCACAGGGAGCCTACTTCTCCCTCTGCCTGTGTCTCTGCCTCTCTCTCTGTGTGTCTCATGAATAAATAAATAAAATCTTAAAAAAAAAAAAAAAGAACTCAGTGACTAGGCTCAGACCTGGTGAGAAAGTCATTTCATCTTCTCCATCAGGGCAGAGTAGCCTATCAATGAACACCTCCTGCCTGGATCCAAACAGCCGGGTTGGACCAGTTCCGGCCCTGCCTAGAGGGACCATGACCAAGGCCATGTCCCTGAATCTCTTTGTGCTCTGAGAACGAGGATGTGTTAACATCCTGCATAACATACTGCACAGGGTTGTTGTAGGATGAAACAGGTTAATATTTGTAAAGCACTTAAGAAAGATTGCTGGTGTCTCAGAAATAAGACTGGGATTCAATTAATATTGAACACTAAATTATGTTAGTTGCTATTATTACACATCATGAAAGAATGACAATCATTTAGCTACAATTTCTTCACTGGTGACAGTTATTGGGCCTTTATGAAGCCCCTGTGCTAAGCACTGGAGCTGGGTCATCTCCCGGAATCCCATCATCTTGTTTAATGGGCAAAACGATCATTGGAGCTTGCCCTGGGTTAAGAGGCTTCAATGATCTAATGCTTGTCATGTTGTCTAATGTCTGTAAGTGCTCAACTCATGACAGTTGTTATTATTTTTTAAATAAGCTGATTATGGTTTTGTTAAGGGGTGCCTGGGTGGCACAATCAGTTAAGCGTCTGACTCTTGGTTTCGGCTCAGGTCATGATCTCAGGGTCGTGAGATCGAGCCCCGTGCTGGGTTCTGCACTCAGCGTGAGTCTACTGCACTCAATCTCTGCTTGAGATTCTCTCTCTCCCTCTGCCCCTCCCGGCTGTTGTGCATGCGCACTCTCTCTCTCTCTCAAATAAATGAATGAATCTTAAAAAAGAAAGGAAGGAAGGAAGGAAGAAAGAAAGAAGCTTGTATCAGGCTTGAGATCCATGGACATGGCAAAATGCCAAACACCCCCCTTCACCCTGATACAGAGTGACTGGTTATAAGACAGGTTTTAAGACAGAGGTTGTGATTTTTCCCAAATGGTTCTTGGGAAAAGAATAGCTAATAATCAGCTGGCATTTAGGGACACCTGGGTGGCTCAGTGGTTAAACATCTGCCTTTGGCTCAGGGTGTGATCCCGGGGTCTGGGGATCGAGTCCCACATTGGGCTCCCCACAGCCTGCTTCTCCCTCTGCCTATGTCTCTGCCTTCTCTGCCTGCTTCTCCCTCTGCCTATGTCTCTGCTTCTCTCTCTCTTTCATGAATAAATAAATAAAATCTTAAAAAGAAAAGAAATAACTGGAGTCCACACCCCTCTCCTTTACATGAGCAGGCCTTTGTGACTGCTTCAACTTTCAGACGTGACACTGCTAAGTGATTTCCAAGGCCGGGTCGTAAAAGAAGATGCAGCCACCGCCTGGCTCTCTCGGGACACGGGCTGTGGGCACCCCGAGTCTGGTGTGGAGTGCTCCTAAGTGCTTACCAACGAGCTCTCTAGGAGAAGAAAAGAGTTTGGGTTCGTAGCAGCTGCTGATGTCTGTGAAAACACACCAACTGTGGCAGATCGTGAGCTACCAACGCGAAGTCCCTGGACTGTGCAGTTTGCAGAACGGCCCACAATCGGCTCTCACAAGCCAGAGCAAGGCGCACACCACACCCACCACAGCCCGAGTCACCCCTGAGGCCTGGCTGCCCTGAAGAGACCCCGTGAAGGCAGAGAAAGGCCTGGGGAGCCCCAGCTGTTGGAGTCTCATTCCAGATGCTAGGCCTAGGGCTGGACAAGCTTCCGATGACCCAGACCCTGCCACTGTCCCACGGCCCTGCAAGGGAGCCCCTGAGATGC